AAACCCAAAAAGCACATGGAAAGGAGCACAAGGGCCAGCTTGTAATACTGTGCTTGTCCCAGCCCCGAAACGTTCGCCGCCTGCCAGGTCCGCCCGTTTATACTTTTTTCGGGGAGATGGCAAACCACCTTGGTTGGGGGCCCCAAAGCACACAGCCCTCATGACATGTTTATACATGCTGGTTTCGAGTAAGATCATTATTTTTTTCCGGTTCACATGGAAATGGGACTTCACCACGCCACCCCATCGACACATGCACACACGATATAAGGTATACGTGTCCAGGCTCCTCCTCAGGTCTTATAACTTTCAATTGAAGTGATGGTGTACCATGGTCACGCCATCAACCATGGTACATCTATTGTCACTTCCTCCCAATTGAATCTATGATAACCTTTGGCCTGCAGTGCCAGTAACTCTGGTTCCCCCCAGATCTCTTGTTGTGGGCAGATAGGCCTCTCTCTGGACGGACGGACGTTTCTAAGTAAAGAAAAGCAAAAAATATTTTCAGTTGCTTCTTCAAAGTGATCCCCTTTGAGATGGTCAATTGACCTTTTTTGGTCTTGATCGAGCGGTTTCAGATTGATGATTGATGAGGTCATTTTGAAGAAGCAAGTAACTAGCTATTTCCTGGAGAAGAACCTCGCGGCGATCACCAAGGTCATCACAGATGTGTGAAGAAAAGGGTGAGCAAGGAGTCTAGCGGCTTTGGGCCTTGGACTAAGAGATGCATTGGCCAGCCTTGACAAGGGAGAGTTCCTCATCGATGCGGTGAGGACACAGTGCCAGCTTCCAAACATTCGCATGGCTGAATGATCAATTCCTGGATGCGATCCGACAACCACCTACGAACCACTACTTCCAGCTGAGCGACTTCGAGGAGGCGACCCAGACTTACTTCCCGGCTGAAATAAATGCATGATGGAGGACCAGGTTGTCGCCGTGCGCGCTTTGGTTCAGCTGCTGCAAGCAATGATGGCTTCAAGCTTTTGCAGGACAATATCGGGACGGACAAAAGTTTTAGTTAGGCTCGCCATGACATTACACACTTGGTCACGTATTGTGATGAGGTGCACATCGTCGAGTCGTCATCTTGCATCTTTACAATATTTAGATTAACAGCCTTAGGCCTTAGCTTCAGACTTTGCTAATAGGTATATAATTATGGCCTGCTCCTATAAGACTTTGAGGGGATAGGATGGTTCCCCCACCCTGGCGGGGGGCCAGGTCGATTCTTTGTCTTCTCAACACCCTTGTGAACAGCTTAGTTATTTGATGTTTAACTTTGATTCTTGTATTGCAACCAGAACTGTCTGAGCAATACAAAGTACAAATGCATGGTACGAACTTCACCCCTCCGTCGAAATGCTGAGGTGGCCAGCAATGTCCGCCGCCTGCCAGAACCACCCTGGTTGGGGGGCCCCAAAGCACACCGCCCTCATGAGACAGGATACGAATTTGGCAGATAGAGGCAGTGGTAGCACCTGTTCATATTATATAGCATGGTAGTTGGATTTTACCCTTCTATTTTCTGCCCTTCCACTCAAACCTCTTTGCATAATGCGACCTATGTCTTTTCAAGGAATGTCTTATGTCCTCTGATGGTGTCAGCTATGTGACCGTGATTACAGGCGCGCGGATGAATGGAGCAGAGGACTTGAAAGGTCGTTGATTAAATGAAAGGCATAGTCGGGGTATCTTCAACACCACTTGTGATGCAATGTGGAAGATCTTGCTGCGTTCACAGAGATGCTGGACCTAAGGTCGTGTCCGCGGAGGTGCCCAGATAAGGATCAACCGCGGTAGCCACTGATGTCAATTGAATTTGAAAATGAAGTGCATCAGCATGAGTCAACCAGAACTGTCTGAGACTTGCTGATGCACGCATCTTTGCTTGAGACATTCAGTTTCACCATAGTGCATCCTGTGTCACCACAGTGCATCGGCATGCGTCAAGCAGAACGGGCTGAGACCCCATCGAAGATGAATAAAGCTGCCGATTCCTTTTGCGCAGATAGTTGTTGGTCTGTGCAGCTAGGTTTGCATGGAGTCAGGGCCCCGGGATGGGATGGATTACATGGATAGGCAGGCTGCTACCACAAAGAGACAAATCGATATATTTTATATTGAGATAGGAATATCAATATGAATTAGAGATGGATGTATGAGTGTTAATATATAGAGATGGATGTATGAGTGTTAAGATAAGAGTTTCAATTCCAGTCACAGTCAGGAGTCAGGACCCTAAACCCCAAAAGAACCAACTTATATCATATTGTCATACTGTGTGTGTCCCAGCCCAGAAACGTTCGCCACCTGCCAGGTCCGCCCGTTTATACTTTTTTTTTTCAGGAGATGGCAAACCACCTTGGTTGGGGGGCCCCAAAGCACATAGCCCTCATGACATGTTTATAGATGCTGGTTTCGAGTCACATGGAAATAGGACTTCGCCGCACCACCCCGTCGGATTGCTCAGGTGGCCACGACAACGATGACTTCGCTGTGAGTACCGTCTGTGTGTAAAAGCGTCTGTGTGTAAAAGTCTTTCTGCGTAAAAGTCTTTGTATGTAAAACCGTCTGTGTGTAAAAGTGTTTGTGTGTAGAAGCTTCTGTGTGTAAAAGCGTCTGCGTGTAAAAGCGCCTGTGTGTAAAAGTGTTTGTGTGTAACAGTGTTTCTGTGTAAAAGTGCCTGTGTGTAAAAGCGTCTATGTGTAAAAGCTTCTGTGTGTACAAGCGTTTGTGTGTAAAAGCAGCTCCTGTGTGTAAAAGGGTCTGTGTGTAAAAAGCGTCTGTGTGTAAAAGTGTCTGTGTGCAAAGGCGTCTGTGTGTAAAAGGGTCTGTGTGTAAAAGCGTCTGTGTGTAAAAGCGTCTGTGTGTCAAAGCGTTTGTGTGTAAAAGCGTCTGTGTGTAAAAGTGTTTGTATGTAAAAGCTTAGAGGTGTTTAAAAGCTTCTGTCTGTAAAAGCTTCTGTGTGTAAAAGCTTCTGTGGGTAAAAGCTTAGTGTGTAAAAGCGTCTGTGTAAAAGCGTCTGTGTGTAAAAGTGTTTGCGATGCAAACTATTGTCTTGCACTTCTCACTATGTTGTCTTGATACTCCTCTTCTCGACTGCCTATAACACAGCTTTCATATACCGTTTCTAAAATTGCATCTCCATACTAACAAGAGAAGACCCTGCTCCTCTACGCTCTCGGGCCATCCGTCGTCTAGTTGCTTTGTGATGTATTGTTTTGTGATGTAAAGTCTCACACCGCCCTTCACCAATGTATTGTTATGTGAGTAACTCGCAAGATTGCTTCCCAACTGCATTAGTTATACGGTGTAGAGGTATCTCAACTACATTAGTTATATGTGAATTCACTTGTAAAAGTTAGAATATAGATAGATATAAACTGTATATATTAACCCAGCAAGCACCTGTTTTCACTGACTCACTGGGCTTCATGCAAAAGGCGGGGTCGTTTTCGGGCTACGCCATTTTCAGACACACTCATTTTGACTCTCTGTATTTCGTGTTAGAATTTCCACTGACTTGTGACCGAGCATCCGGCGGCCACACTGATCCAGACCGTGTGGATCTTAAAGCAAGATAAAGTGCTGCGGGGCAAGACACGTGTTGCAAATCTATCCGCTGCGCACCAATCGTCCTACGTTTACCTGTTGCAAACACCGCCGGAAATTCCCTGAAGAGTAGGAACAAACCATCGTGGATCGTGTTTCTACTTCATGTCAAAACCAAGCGAACTTGTGTAAAACATGTGCTCCTCCCGACCCCTCTTACCATTGTACCATTCCTGAAGTCCCGCTTCAGCCAACCCTACTATCCCTACTGATCAGTGCCCTGCCGGCAATTGCCGCCAAGCCAGGAGGTGGTGATCTTGGATTCGTCTGAACTATATCATGAAAGTTAAGCCATAGTTAACTCATAGTTAATCCATACTTAACCCTAAATCCTATCCCAAATGTACGAAAGCTCTGGTGCTGGTAATGATTCTCCAACCCTCTACCTGCAGTGTGATGCGATGCGCTGGCCCTCGGTTTGTAGGGCAGTGGACAGGATGGCTCCAACCTTGGTAACATGGCGGATGTATTCTCAATGGCTCCCAGACTGGAACGGGGGATGGGATCAAGGCCAATCACCAGCCAAATCACTGTGGGCAAGTCATCTGCTGCAACTTGTCTATGCCTAAAGTTGCATGTGCATCAAGAGTCTTTCGAAACTTCTCTTTCAGATGTCACCTACACCTGTGCTCCAATCCACACAAGCACAATCATAGCACAAATTCGCATATAATCACGTAACTGACGCCTATTGCCACTGTTCGTCACTGCACGGGTGTAAAGAGCGCAACTTCCACTGTCAGGCTGTGGTCTCTCACACGACCGGGTCGTCGATGGGCCAATTCATCATAGCTGTTGAGCTGGGTCCTTGAGAAGGTAACTGGCAAACACCACTACCACGCACCCATCCACATCCAGGACGGCAATTTCCCCCATCCAAAATTCTGAAATTTCATAGGGCCGGTTGTGGAAATTGACCATTGGATGTTGGATTTGCCGGATCGCCATGGGTTGATCCAGCCCCGGCCAAGGAGCAAGAGCTCTACAGCGCCCTTGTCCATGAGCTCCTGCTCCTCGAGACTTGAACAAGTCACTGAAATTAATGTGGGCAACCAATGCCATGAACCTACCATTTGGTGGTGGTAAACATAGCAGCCATAAAAATGGTGATTTCCGGGGTGGTTTATGACATTGGGCTTACCACATTATTAAAGTTGCGAAGCAAATGGGTAAGTTCCACCAAAACCCAATGCTTGCCTGAAGACACCTGAAGTTCTCCAGGGAAATCAGCAGCACGTAGAGCGCGTTTTCCAACGCAATGTCGCGCCAAGTCGGCTACTAAGTCCCACCCTTGATCCAATGAGAACGGATCGGTGGCATCAGCTGAAACATCTGACCCATGAAATGACTTGAATGCATGGCACGCATTTCCACGGGGGGAGCTATTGGTCTGCAGGGGCCCTCAAGTTTTCGAGTTGAACTCCATCGGGGGCATGAATCACCCTCAAGCCAGCATTCAGATCATCCGGATCCCGTGGCGTCTGAGCACAAAACGGACATGGCACCCGATTCTGAATTTCTCGGCCAGAAACGTACAACTCAGGGCAGTCTGAGTCTGTATGCCATGATCTAGCTCCGTCTTGGATGCTGATCATTCCACCTAGCGGGCATCTTTCGAAGTGCACCTCCAGGGCATGGGCAGCTTCGAATCCAGTCTGAAGTTCAGGCGCTGAAAGCCTCAGCGCATTTCTAAGCTCCACCTCAGCGTCGCGCTGCTCGGCAAAGGCACGACGGGCACGGTCGTGTGCCTGCGTTCGCCTTTCATGAGCCTGTTGGAGCTCTCCATGCATCACTGAAAGGACATTGGAGTTGCGCATCACCAGGCTGCGCTCATCTTCCACTGTCGCTTGTCGACCTTCAGCTTCGGCCAAGTCTCGCTCCAGCAAGGCGATCTGTTGCCTCGCGGTGCTCAGCTGGTAGTCCAGCTCAACCAGTCGACGAACTGATCGTCGAAGTGCAAACCAGAGGGTCAAAATGACCAGTCCCAGAAAAAGCAGCAAAAGAGACCAGCTCAAGTAGTTGTTAGAACCCGTTTCATCTGCAGAAAAACCAGGTGTGTTACAAACATCTGTGCCTTGTGCAAGGGGGATGTTCTCCATTCCAAGACCTGCAGCCAGAAAAGCCAGTGTCTTGAACACAAACTTCTCGAGGAGCGTGGGCACATTCACAACAGCGCCATGGCTTGCGCGCCGGGCGTTGACATACTTGACAACTGCAAAGGACTGTGCATAGCAGACATTCACAGGAGCCTGGGCATTCTGTGGCACCAAGTCATACTGGGCAACGTCATGCTCTTCATCCATCTTGAACTCTTCATCGGTAAAGAGCTCAGCAGTCAGGTCTCCCTTTGCAGGAATCAAGTCATTCTCAGGGGCTTCGGCATTCTCAGGTTGGAAGTCATTCTTTGGCTTCTTGACATTCTTTGAGTGCTTCTGCTTGCGAGTCTTCGTTGAAGATTCTAGCTCTTCACGTTTCTCTTCCAAGGTTTTCTTCTTTGCAGCTACATAGCCAGGGTCGTAGAGGAACTTGATCTTCGCGTGGCGAAGTTTGTCGGCAAGGGTCTGCCGCATGCTGGCCTTTGTAAGACCATCGGCAAGTTGCCGGTCACTTGACACCCATCGCATAGTGCCACCCAAGGACCCAAGGAACCAATCTGATCCTTGACCACCCGGATTTCAAGGCTCGGCCTCCGGTCCGTCACGTTGAAGATCAGGGGCTCACGGCGGTAGGAGTCATACAAGGCCTTGGCACCGGTGATCATCACAGGGTTCAGCACCGAGCGGGCTTGAAGAAGTTCAGCCAGGAACCAGTCAGGATGCCTCAGGTGCTCAAAGTAGCGGCAGGCAAACTCAGTGGCGTCGCTGGCACAACCAGCGGCTTGTGCTTCTGCGCTCCGAGCCACTCGTGGCAAACGAAATGATTTCCAGTCCAAAATCAGTCCAAAATGTGGTATGCATCTTCTCCAGACTCCAGAACATGGCTGTTGGCCAACATCACAAAGTAACCTCCTTGAGAGGAACCATCAGAGCGCGAACAAAAACTCGCGTCAAAGGCAGTGATCATTCGGAGTTGGTCAAGAGGACCAATTGGAGAAAAACAGAACTCCTTGGCAAATTTTAGCAAACGATTTGCTTCAACAGCAGTTCCAACCAGGCCTTTCGTAACTTCGCCAGAGAGCATGGAAGTACTGGCCTGAAGACGGGGTGACGATTGAACTGCTAGCCACTGTAGACAACCCATCAGACCTCTCAGATTGGAAACCTCTCGTGCTGAGAGTTCAGCTTGAGACCCAACACCCTTGGACACAGTCACGGGCTTAATCTTCTAGAAGTACTTGTGCGGTGCAGTTTGATTCCATTGGCATCACGCTGGATGCCAGCGCCGCAGTAGGATAGGGAGTCGCCATCATGCCACTCACGGAAGGTGAAGGTCTCCTTCAAGGCTTTGATGACCTTCTGGTATGTTAGGGAGTTGCCATCACCAGCTCCCAACATGTCATCCACATGAAGGCAAATGATGCCCACCAAACCGCAATCACCAACTGCACCAGGTGAAAACTCCGTGACAAAGTCTTTCTCAAACACCAGAAAGCAACAAGGATCAAGTAGATGCTGTCGCAGCCCAAGTCCACGGAGGCGATGACAAGCTTCAAGGTACCACCTTCGAGGTGCATCCAGTTGGCCGTAACAGGGCATCTTTAGCAACATTAGAGTTTCAGGCCCACAATGCAAACATTCTGAAGGAAGTTTGATCCATAGTTTCCTCTCCTGAGGTAATCCTTGGAGAAACGCCGTGGAGATATCTGATGTCCACAGCTGCCACTGCAGTGTTGAAGTCAGTGACAACAGAAAGTTTCGAGAAAGTCTCGATGTTGTTGGGCTTGTGGTGTCCAAGTTCCCCTGCAACGCATCAACATCGTTGTAGCCTCTGACAATCAGGTGACATTTGGCCCGAGGCTGGCCATCTGGATTCTTCGACCAAGTCACGAGAAGTCGCGCTGTCAGAGTGCGCTCAGGGGTGGCATTGGCAGCTGTATCAAAAGTCCAAACATCGTGTTCAAAGAAGCTTTGAAGCGTCTTGCATTTTGCGGCTTGAAAGAGAGCACGTTTGTGAACTGAAAGTTCTCACCGCCTTCTTGTCCTTCTTGCGCTGCTGGCGCATCATTTGTGTTTTCACTTCGCGGCCCATCTTCTTGGCATAGTGGCAGGAAAACATGCAAAGTTCCCTTCGGGCCTCACCATTGATTTGGAACACGGTCGTCCCAGTCCACGCCAGCTTGGAGATGCGCTTTTCAGTGCCATCGTCATTCAGGACCTCGATTTGGCGGTCAGGCTGTTTCATCACAGTGGTCCGTATCGGATCCAGGACGTTCGGATCGATGGGCACATCTTTGAAGGCGTTCACGTCGACGGTGGAGCGACGTGGAACCACATGGTACAACCTGCACGAACTTCCCAAAAGTCAGAAGTCGTGTCAGTGAGCTGCAAGTTTCCGTCCGAGTCCACAGTCCAGCCAACAGGTAGCTGTGAAGCATCAAGGTCGGACACTTCGAAAACTTGAGAAAAAGACTCAGCATCATCAGTTGGAGGGGCAGCGTATGGAGAGGCCCTGGCTTGATCTCGAAGAGGGTTTGGAGCTCGTCCAAAAACTTGTAGCAACACATTGACCTCAGAGCGTTCATGTCGACGTCGCTGGACAAGGAAATCTTCACCAGGACGCGCAGGCTCATAAAGTGAGGCAAGTGCTGGATCCAAAGTTGGAACTTCACGTCGCTCTGGGACAGCAGGTGGTGCAGCAATAGAACTTGGCGCCGACAAAGTCCACGATCGTCGGAACCTCAGTGGCCAAAAGAGCAGCAGCCAAAACGGTGGCAAAGGCAAGCTGATAGTTCTCCAGGTACTTGGTTCGCATTCCGAACCCTTTGCATGGCCTTCAAGAGGGCAATGCTCATGGCTGCCACCGCATCGCAGTTGAAATTGTTGGTACAAGGCCATCTTGGTCGTAAGGAAAGTTGTGGTCTTGCGGACTGGTTTCCAGTGGCCATCTTGATCCAGACAACGACATCCATAGGCACATTGGTCAAAGGTCGGGCAAACACGACAAAGCGATTGTTTTCCAGCTGAGAGCTGGAGCAGGTTGTTCAACATGGGCGTGTCCACCATTCTTGATTTGGGTCAAAAGCCAAGCGTGTTCCGTGATGCCACTCACGTTTTTCAAGAAGCTGTGCCTGTTGTTCTGGATCTCGAGCGTTTAAGTTTTGCATAGGGCTCCATGGTCCACAAGTTGGTGTCAGAAGAACTTCGTCGGGACATTCGGACTCAAGGCGTTGTAGAAACCAAAGACTATGACTGGCAATGTCAAAGTCCCAGCCAGTTTCACGACTGCAGGTTTCCACCTGAGCACCCATAGCAGCAATCTCTGCTGTCCGGCCCTTTCCAGCAACCTCTGCTGTCCGGCCCTTTCCAGCATAGACCTCCCAAATCTTGCGACCCTTCTCATGCAAAACTGAGGTGACAACACCTTGGATGTGGTTGGATTCAGCGTGAAGGTGTTCATGGATGGTGCGCACAGTCGTCGAAGAGGGCAAAAGCCTGCTCCTCATTCTCAAACTGTCTCAAGTTGAGACTCATTGGATCCACTTCTCCTTCAGGTGGCAGCCGGAGATCAAAATCCAAAGTCCAAGATCTCGAAAAGCCCATCGGCTGCTACAGAGGCAGAAGATACTCACCGTGAAGTCCAATGGTGGTACTTCGCCAGGGGCCACAATCCATTCGCACCTTCTTGTTCTGAAAGTCCATCACGATGCCCAAGGATTCGATGATGGGACGTCCGCAGAGAAATGGGGTCTCGCCCTTGAGCAGGAAGACCTGTGCTTGGCCAAATCGGCCGGCAATGCACATGGGAAGCTGCATCACCCATTTGCTCCAACATTCACCATCACCTCCAAAATGAAACTTGTGCCTGCATCGATGGAATTGGACATCGTTGATGGGGTAGCCCTGCGACTCCAAAAACTGCAGGTATCGGCGAGCATGTCCAAATCCACTAAGGAATGCAGAGGCACCTGGATCCAACATAGCCACATCATAGCGCTCATGACCCGCAGCTGAAGCACGTCCTCGAGGATCATGTGGCTTCATCGGAGCCTTGGTGTACTTGTATGAAGCACCAGACTTGCCTTTTGGAGATCCTCCCTTCGGTGAACCATTTTTGGACAAGCTCTTGCCAGCTTTGCCCTTCTTGCCCTTGGAGTCTTGGAGCTTGGACTGGAAGTTGGTGACTGCGAAACTCCAGGACTGAGGTTTCCTGCCGAAGGATCGCTCAAGGCAACGATGGACAGGTAGCCCCGACTCAGTTTCAGTTCTGAGAACCTCTCAAAGTATCCATCAAAGTCTGAAGGGAGCTGAACACGGGAATCATGTTTAAAATGCTGATCAAGTAGTTTCAACAAGTCCTGGAAGGCATTGTCCTCCTCAGCTTTGGCAACATCAAAGTCCTCCACCAAGCGCCGTGCAGAGCCTGTCAGAGAGCCCACGATGTTCAAAATGGACTCCCCCTTGCGATTAGCCAAGACCATCTTCTGGTGGTACAAGTTGATGCATTTCCTCCATTCTCGGTATTCTGCCGGTTGACCTGAGAACAATGGGATGTATGAATCCCTCTGAGACGTGCCATCGCTTGACGATGCAGCAGAGTTAGTCGACATTGTCAGACAGGATCACACCTTCGAATTCAAGTATATGCTTAAAGACCGGGTGGAGCTTGGCAGTGGTCTCAAGAAAGTCGCCCTCGGTCAGCACTCCAGATTGGGCTCAGCAGGCCGGCGAAGTCGACGCCAGCTCCGCTACCAATGCGAAGCAAATGGGGAAGTTCCACCAAAATCCAATGCTTGCCTGAAGACACCCGAAGTTCTCCAGGGAAATCAGCAGCACGTAGAGCGCGTTTTCCAGCGCAACGTCGTGCCAAGTTGGCTACTAAGTCCCACCCTTGATCCAATGAGAACGGATCGGTGGCATCAGCTGAAACATCTCACCCATGAAATGACCTAAAGTCAATACAATGTTTAACCATGGACCATACAATTTAAATTATCATTCTCGAGTTGAAAGGAGGACACGAGAGAGATCATGTTCATCAGCGTCCCCTTGTGAGAAACTCTTCAAGGTTCGCACGTTTGAAGCACAATTCAGTGCCAGGCTGGACTATCCCAGTGAGTTGAGATAAGTCCAGCCTCCAGGGACCACAACTGTTTGCATACGGAATGATACAGATCCATTTTGCACTAGTAATTATAGATAATCATAGCATATAATAATATGTATGATATATCATAGCTACTCTTCAATCGTCCACACCTTCGTATGCCGCAGCAATCGAGCGAAGCCTGCCGCCTCAATGCAAAACCCTGTTCTGCAGAACCGGCGGTTTCAGTGCCTTTGTTGATGTTCATTGTTTTTAAACATGTTCCAGAAAATACTGAACACAAGCCAGGCAATATGGACTCCGGACAAAACACTATTTGTTTCATTTCGGATACACAAAACATCTTAAGTTTCAAATTGATTGAAAGAGGAAAAACAAGCTTTGATGTAGCTGTGACAAGGTGCTGTTGTTCAGAGCTCGGATCACTGAAACAGTTGTCCGACAGTTCGTTTTTGCATACCTTTACTGAGTACTTTACTGTGTGTTCTTCTTGGCTCATGCTTGAGTTAATCAAAAGCAATGGAAAGCTCCCGCGCCATCTTGCGAAGAACGAGGACCTTCAGGATGTTGCACATCTCCTTGGCCGCCTGAGACTAGGAGTGACCTGGAGGAATTCTCGAATTCTCCACTTGGCCAACCTGGGCTATGTATAGGAAGAGTCCTTACAATACTCTTTGAGTCTTTCTTCTAGCCAGAAGCATAATCTCCAAGACATGCTGCATAATGTATAAAATCTACTTAGAACTTAAACTAGCCCAGGATGATCATCAAGCATAAAGTACGCGAAAACCTTCAGAAAAAAGGACTGAAGAGGACAAGTGACAGGTTCAGCAACACATCTTTGTTAAATAAACAAATACGTGCACACTTACGCAGAGAAATCCCTGGCCTGTTTTCGCGGTTCGATGCTGCTGGCCTTGCAACAGTATAGCCATGCAAGCTGTAAGCAAGGTGAGATCGCAACCCATTGCCCCACCTGCGATGGGGACATCGTGTGCGCTGGGACGGATCTGGGATGTACCTGGAGCTGCTCACTATGAGTTGATGTCAACCACGGCCCCAGGCCACTTGGAAAGCGAGTTGGGTGTTTCACAGTTTCCTTCAGCGGCCCAAAACCTAAGTCCATGCTCAGATTGGAAGAAGAAAGCATTAATTGAAATCAATTGTTCTCATTTCATTATGCGGAGGGACTGCAGCACGACCGGACCCTGATCTTCCGACTATGCCCTGGATGTCTGACAGCAGCTGCAACGTGACATGTCCATGTCCCAGCTCTTGAAGTTCTGTCTAAGGAGTTTTCGAATCTCTCAGAAGCTGCGGTTACACTCTTGTCATTTGCGGCTCAGAAGGGTGTCCTCTGTCCTCTGCCCATTGGGCACAATGCGGACGGGCTGCATTAATGCCTGAACATGCATCAAAACTATCTTGAATAACGAGTCCGGCAAAATGAAAACCCGTATACCTAAAAAATGACAATTTTTGCAACACAGCCTCGAGTCTAGATCCTGGTAGTACTCCCCATCCCCCATAAATCGTATAAACGACACAGGTTGCATCACCTTTCCCAGCCTGTCGTGGAGAGCCTGATGTAGCCTCACCTCAGAAATGGTACATGGTTCGGTTCAGCCATCGTTCAGCCTGTTCCAGGTTTCACTCTGGTCCACTGATATTCTCCATCCAAACATATCCAACTAGCAATTCTCCCGCCATGAATGCTGTATGTTGCTGTTGTGTCTCTCACCACTTTCTCGGGCCATGGGTTCCCATGGGTTCCCATGGGCATGGGCTCCCTGCACGGATTTGCCACGGCCATCGAGGGCACACGCATCGGGGCAGCCCAAGTCGCCTTGCCGCCCAGGAAAACAACCACAAAATGTCATCCTTGTGAGCTTCAATTTCCGAAACTCGTCAGATGGCCGAAATTTCGCCAGAGTTTATGATGTTTATGAACCTTCAGCAGCTATGTCCATTATTTCTTCCAGCTTTCAGAATAGACTTAGAGCAGATGGCCCGCAAATTCATAACCCACCTGTCGTTGAGGCGAGGGCGAAGCGCTCCGCGGCGGCCTGAGAACACAAGTGACCAGCGTGAAGCAGTTTACCCACTGGAAGCCTAACCTGGGAATGGAAATTTCCCCTATATATATATACATATACAGTGTATATATATATATATACATAATTAAGTATTATGTCAGTGTCTAATTTTCAACCAATGAGTGATGTTGTCCTTCGAAAACAGAAACGTAGTTTTGCCACAAACAGTAAGGTGTGACGCACACGATCCACCGCCCCCACCTGGCATGAAAGACCTCAGGATGGAGCTTTGCAGAGGAGACTCAATACACTAACATTGACCCCGTTGACCTTTCCTTGTGAGATCCCTGGCAGGATTTTGCGGTAAGCGCCAGAAGCAACAGGGACAAACAAATCACGGGCTGTCCAGTTCCCACTCGGTCTCAGGGCGAAGGCATGTGGGGCCTCGATGGTTGACCTGGGGCTGCCTGCCGATGTGAGTATTAAAATGTCAAAACAAAATCCAAAAATTGCCCGTAAATATATACCTTGTTTCATCTTGTTTCTTGCTGTTTCAAATGCCTAGAACTTGTTTCAAATGCACATGTGGTGACAGCAGAATCTTTGCCCGGGTCCTTGCTCTATCCAGGGCGGCAGGAACGTAGAGGTCTGGCACAGCGGGCAATGCACCCATCACCCAGCAATTTGCAACGAGCTGTCACCAGGCACAAAACGAAGTTAACAAATTTGAATCCAAAAATCCTGTTGGCTAATGGCTCCTCGTCAAAAGCCGTGACACAAGGTGACTGGGGAGGCTGCCAGATGAACGATGAATGCATGCTGGATCATTTTGGATCATTTTGGCGCTTGAGTTCATACCAGAAATGGGGTTAGAGCATCTTATAGCTACTTGTACAAACAGAATAATGGACAACCTTGCTGGAAAAACAGTGATCAAGAATCAAGAAGACACCAGCAACGCGACTCAAGCCAAGGTTCCAGACTCACCAAATGATGAGATCAGATCGCAATCATGTGGTAGCATCACACGATCCATGACCCATGACATGGCACATCTCAAGCTTCAAATTGTGCTGTGGTCGCCTGCATCAAGCTGGGAGGTGGCAGCATCGGCCCCGGCCTTAGAGGTATAGTCTGATGGGAACAGGGAAGTAGGTAGGTAAGAAGGCAGGCAGGAAGGAAGGCAGGAAGGTAGGAAGGTAGGAAGGCAACAAAGGTAAGAAGGTAGGAAGGTACTGTAGATACTGTAGGTTACTTTAGGTCCTGTAGGCACTGTAGGTACTGTAGATACTGTAGGTACTGTAGGTACTGTAGGTACTGTAGGTCCTGTAGGTCCTGTAGGTCCTGTAGGTCCTGTCGGTCCTGTCGGTCCTGTAGGTACTGTAGCTCCTGTAGCTCCTGTAGCTCCTGTAGGTACTGTAGGTACTGTAGGTACTGTAGGTCCTGTAGGTATTGCAGGTACTGTAGGTCCTGTAGGTACTGTAGGCACTGTAGGTACTGTAGATACTGTAGGTACTGTAGGTACTGTAGGTCCTGTAGGTCCTGTAGGTCCTGTAAGTCCTGAGTAGGTACTGTAGGTCCTGTAGGTCCTGTAGGTCCTGTAGGTCCTGAGTAGGTACTGTAGGTCCTGTAGGTACTGTAGGTACTGCAGGTACTGCAGGTACTGTAGGTACTCTAGGTACTCTAGGTACTGTAGGTACTCTAGGTACTCTAGGTACTCTAGGTACTCTAGGTACTCTAGGTACTCTAGGTACTGTAGGTACTGTAGGTACTGTAGGTACTGTAGATACTGTAGGTACTGTAGGTAGTGTAGGCACTGTAGGCACTGTAGGTACTGTAGGTACTGTAGGTACTGTAGGTACTGTAGGTACTGTAGGTACTGCAGGTCCTGTAGTAGGTCCTGTAGAAGGTACTGCAGGTACTGTAGGTACTTTAGATACTATAAATTATTGTAGGCACTCTCGGTACTGTAGGTACTGTAGGTACTCTAGGTACTCTAGGTACTCTAGGTACTGTAGGTACTCTAGGTACTCTAGGTACTGTAGCTACTGTAGCTAGAGTACCTAGAGTACCTAGGGTACCTACAGTACCTACAGTCCCTACAGTCCCTACAGTCCCTACAGTCCCTACAGTTCCTACAGTGCCTACAGTGCCTACAGTCCCTACAGTAGCTACAGTAGCTACAGTACTCTAGGTACTCTAGGTACTCTAGGTACTCTAGGTACTCTAGGTACTCTAGGTACTCTAGGTACTCTAGGTACTCTAGGTCCTGTAGGTCCTGTAGGTCCTGTAGGTCCTGTAGGTACTCTAGGTACTCTAGGTACTCTAGGTACTCTAGGTACTCTAGGTACTCTAGGTACTCTAGGTACTGTAGGTCCTGTAGGTCCTGTAGGTCCTGTAGGTCCTGTAGGTCCTGTAGGTCCTGTAGGTCCTGTAGGTCCTGTAGGTCCTGTAGGTCCTGTGGGTC